CCTGCAGGGCAGGCCTGCTGCTGACCAAGGCCTTCATTTTCCTTCAGCCTGAGAATGCCTTGCTCCTCTCATTCCTAAGGCACCTTTCGCAGGGTACAGAATAGTAGGTCCGTGCTCTTTTCGTTTGGCACCTGAACACCACTGCACGGCATCCTCTGCCTCACAGTTCTGCTGAGACACGTCTCTCGGGTTCCGTTCTCCTCAGGGAGAGCCGCCATCTTCCTCTCTGCTTTCGGGAACTGTTTTGTCTTCCATTTTCAGAAATTCAGTTATGAAGCCTCTCATCATGGATTTCTTTGGTTTATCTGGTTTGGTGTGCTCCGCTTCTCAAATCTGTAGGTTTACATTTCGCCAAATTTGTGGCATTTTGAGCAGCTATTTGGTGGAGTACTTTTTCAGCCCCACCCTCTTCTCGCCTGGGACCCTGCTGACAGAAACCTTGTTTTGTTATAGTCCCCAAAGGTCCCCGAGACTCTTCATTTTTTCCAGTCTGTTTTCTCCGTTGTTCAGATTGGACAATGTCTATGGTGCTGCCTTCTGGTTTGTGGTTTGGTCTTTCTTTCCCATTCTGCCTCTGAGCCCATCCACTCGGTAGTCATTCTGGTTCCTGTGTCAGGAGCAGCCTGGCCCGCTGGCGATGGCGCCTGTTCCTGGTGGCTGGCAGCTTCCTCTTCTTGCCAGGCTGCCCCTTCCTGTGCTTTGGATGCAGAGCACAGGCTGTGTGGCTTCATCTGGGCCCCTTGGTGTTTCTGCCGGGGTTTCCATTGTGCTGAGTGAGAAGCAGAAGGAAGCGTTTGTCTAATCCCCTTCCCGGAAGGAGTTCGTTCACTTTGATGCTGTCGCCCTGCTCTGAGAGCCTCAGTTCCAGTCCTTCCTTATGGCGCATTTTGCTGGGCAGAAATGTTTGGTTTTTATATAGTTGAATATATTGACCTTTAAAAAAGAATTTTGTAACATGCTTGGAAGCAGCTTTCTCATACCAAGTTTATGAAAAAACCTCCCATTTTCTTATAACTTGTTTGGGTTTCTCTCTCTCTTACCATTTAAGTAAGCATGCCATCTGGACTTTATTTGGTGAAAGTAGGGACAGGAACCTCTTCCCCCATGACTGCCCGCTGCCACAGCACCGTTCACTGGATAATAAATGTTCCATGGTGTTAGGGAGTCCACTTTGGTCACCGCTTGTTTATGAGTGTTCCCAGCACCCGAGACCCGGGAGGAGCAGCCATGTGTAGAGGCTTCCCTGCACGTGGGTGTGGGTCGCAGAGCTGGTGCTGGTGGGCCAGCGAACTGCAAGCACATGGGGCTGCTGGCCTGTTTGCAGGGAGCCAGTGGGTGTCCGACACCTTCAGGTGTAGTCGCAGTGGCCAGGCTGTCCCTGGAAGCGCACCAGGGGGCAGAGTTCTGGCCCTGTGCAGCTGTCTCAGCCCAGCGGCCTGGGTGCCGGGAGGACAGAAACGGCCGATGGGGCGGGGACACATGGGTGAGGCCTGGCCTCCCAATAGCTTCTGGTCCAAGGACATGTGTGAGCCCGGAGAGGCTGCGGGGTGAAGGCGGGCAAATGCTGTTGTGTTGCGTGTGCCCCACCCCTTCCTCCTCTCTTCGGTCCTCCCCTCCCCCCCCATTTTTTTTGGTAATATATTTTATTGATTTTTTACAGAGAGGAAGAGAGAGGGATAGAGTCAGAAACATCAATGAGAGAGAATCAGCTGGGGATGTGCCCGCAACCAATGTACATACCCTTGACCGAATCGAACCTGGGACCTTTTAGTCCGCAGGCTGAGCCAAACCAGTTTCATCTGTTCTCTCCCTGCTGTTCTATTCCAGTTCCCATTTAGAGGCTCAGAGCAGCAGCCCAGGTGCCAGTGTGAACTGGCAGGTGTCCCACCCCAGTAGGCACTGAGCCGGGCCCGGGGTCACACAGAAGGCTCTGGTGGCACCAAAGGGACTGACAGTGGCAATGTGTCCTGGTACAGTGTCCGCAGAAGGGGCAACAGAGGCAAAGGTGTCTGCTACCCAGGAGGGTGTGGAAGCAGAGGGTGTGGCCTGTCCACCCCCTACTTTCAATGTGGCCCTCAGAAGCCGTGTTGGAAGGACCCGGATTCGGTGTTGTCTCTGCCACAAGCTGGCTGGCTGCTCAGAGACAGCTCCCCTGCTCTGGGCCGTGTTTCCGTCAAACACAGCCGGGTGCTGGATCAGCTCAGCGGTGGTTTCAAAGCCCTTTGCTATGGAGTATGTCACAGGCTCTGAGGACACTGGGCCAGGTTTCCGGGGTCCCCTCGGCACCAAGGGCTGGAACTTTAACCTTTCTGAGCCCGTTTCCCTCTGTAAATAGGGTGATAACACCGAGAGGCGTGAGTGCCAATGAGACGGTTGCCTGTAGAGGCTGGCCACTCAATGAAGGGCCATCAGGGTCATGTGGGCCTTTGCGAACCTTCCTCTAAAAAACCAGCCTGGCCACCTCCTTCCCTGCCACCGGCTCCGGGACGCCGGGCTGTGCCGTGGGCCCTGCGGACGGCTCCCGGCTGGCAGCTCGTTGTGTGTCTAAAACTCAACCTCCACAACCGAACCAAGTCCCCCAGGAAGACACTTCCTCCACAGCATGGCCCACGCCGCCCGTGCAGGCGCTCCGACGCATGGGCTGACTGCAGCGGCTGCACCAGACAGGGCTCCACCAGTGCTCAGGCGAGGCTCCGGAGGCCTCCCCCTGAGGAGCGTGGGCGAGCAGAATCCCCAAACCACCCGGCAGACAGCAGGGCCCACACCCACCGTCTGGCCTGTGCGGCACCAGGAAAACACCAGGAAACATTCCAACCCAAAGACTCCAAACAGCAAGGCTGGTTTCGTGTCGCTCTGGTTTATTAGTTCCGTCTGTTCTAAGTTGCACGTTAGGAAATAACAAAACCAACGCCAGGGCCCTGGGTGCTCACAGCCTGCGTGAGGTCAGTCTACGTTGCTGCACAGATTGGCTGTTCGTACAAGGGGTGTGTAAATCGGGCAAATTGGACAGATGAACAACTATATGTACAGTAAAGTAAAAGGGGAGTCATTCAAGTATCAAAATACAGAGACAGATTAAATAACATCTTTATTACAACTCGGTCCGTCGCCACACCATTGGCAACAGTGCTTTCCTGGCAGCCACTCTGCGGCCTGGCCTCCTGAGGACAGACGAGTCAGACCAGCCTCCAGGTCTGGGTGACTTCGGCTCCCCTGCCCCCGGGACCTGGTGCGGACGCCCCGGGGGAGGGAGCGGGCAGGCGCGGGGCCGCCAGAGCAGCTGGCAGGCGGGAGGGCCGGCCAGAGCCTGCAGCGGCGGCAGGGCCACCGGCTCCACGGGCCCCACAGTTCAGACGCGGAGACGGCTGCCACACACATGACCCACACTGAGACGTGCAGAGCAGGGCGGCTGCTGGAAGCCTGTCAAGTCCTGGCAGTTCTTCCAGGGAAGGCAGTGCCGCCCAGGAGGGGAGGAAGGCAGGTGCAGTCCTTTCCTTTTCGATATTCAGAAATGAACGCGTCTCAACACAAAGCCAGAGCCAAAGCAGACAGCCGAGGCTCTCCAATAGGAAAATACCCTGAATAAATAAAGAACGTAGCAGCTTCCAGGGAGAAACACCACGTGTGACTCACGTGGGCCGAGGGGCTCGGCGTAGTGTCTGTTCCCTTCTGGCCTCGTGGCACTCCTGCCCCGCGGCCCAGCAGGGGCCGCTCCCCTCCTACCTCCGCCCTCACCAACTCCTGGCAGAAAGCAGGTGCATCCTCACAGGGAACGGAGGGCGTCCTCGCAGGCCCTGGAAGCAGCAGGAAGTCGAACCAAACTCCACTTCCTGTTCAGTACCGCAAAGCGGAGGAATCCCCCTCGGTGGGGCGACCACCAGGCTTCCCGTGCCTGGCCAACCGCAGGCTGAGCAGGTGCCCAGGGCTCTGCTGCACCTTCCCCGGGAGAGGCCGCCAGCCCGGCCAGCTCCCCCACCGGAATCCGCCTCATTTCTGCTCCTCTGGGGGAGGGTGGGGGTGGGGGAGGTGGAGACACCACAGGTAAAAAGCAAAGCAAGCCCAGAGGGCCGAGGGGCGGCGAGCTCCCGACGCCACCTGCCCTGAAGGCCACACGGGGAACCAAACTGCCACCTTCCTCGCCTCCACGTGGAGCCAGGGAAGAGCCAGCAGCCGAGAACAGTGAAGCCAGGAACTCAGAGAACCCGAGGAGGCCTGTCAGAGCCTGGTCAGACAGACCACGAATCAGCAGGCAGCATCTTAGCTGCCGACCCAATAATGCCCAAAACTCAGCTGCCTCTTCTCCTCCCAACTCAACCCAGGAGCCTGAAGTCCCAGAAAGCTGGTGGGCCGGCAGCCAGGGCAGGCTGACCCGGCTCTGACTTCACGCACCAGGAACGGCTCGCTCGCCTCCGCAGGACCTGGACCTTCCCCCCGGGAACCCCAGGCGCCCAGAAGCCTCTGCTCCTGCCAGGCGCCTCTAAGGGCCCAGGGCCAGGTGGGGAAAGAGCCGAGCTCTCGGGGACCAGGGCCCAGCTGCGGTGGGTTTGAAAAGCAGACTAACAACACGTAGTCAAGGCTGCCCCTCGTGTACCCCTTTCCTACCCTGGGCACTGTCCCCCGTCCGACCCACTGAGGACAGGCCGGACAGACTGGCCCTTTCCCGCCTCGGTTCCCTGTCCCCTGACCCTACAGGCACCTGCCTAAAGGCTGGCAGTTGAACCTAGAGGTTTGAAGCAAGTGTTAAAAGTTCATTTTATAAAAATTTTTCTATTAAAACGTGTTCTGGATAAGTCACATCTTGACGCTCTGGGCTCCGGTCTCCTGGGAGAGGCCCACGGGCTCCGAGCCGGGCGGGAGGCGGCGCAGCGGGCAGGCAGCCAGGAGGAGGCCGGGCCTGGGCTTCGGAGCTGCAGGTGAGACGGCGGCGGTGGAGGTGCCGGTGGCGGAGCAGAAGCCTGAGCTCCCACACCTGTGTCCGCAGCACAGCTGGTTCCTGTGGCTCAGCTTGGCAGAAGCAAACACAACGGGGAGGAGAGGGTTAACCAGGGCTGCACAGGTGGGGGTCATGGAAAGGGACCAGGAAGCAGAAAGGAGACAAGAAGCGGAACAGAAGGTCCCTCACGGCCTCCCCCGAGCACCCACTGCCACCTCCGGCTCAGCGTCTGCCCGGCAGGCACGGGACCGGCAGAGGACCCCGTGGTTTACCAAGGGGGGCACAGTTCCAAAGCAGCAGCATCCCTGGGCGTCGGCGGGACTGTGCCGTGTCCGCACTCCCTACTGAGCCTCCCGGCTCCCGCCGCCCAGCGGGGAGAGCCGAGGCAGCTGCTGCCTGCTGGGTGGTGAGAGGCACGGCTGACTACCACTGAGCCCTACACTGGGGACAAGGTCAGAAGATGGGGCGCCATGTGCAGGGAGGGAGGCCCTCCTCGGTGTGAGCTATAATAGACTCCGGCCGGCCTGTGACTCACTGGCCAGGACGGAGGGCCGGCCACACATGCCACCCCGTCCTCGGAGGGGAAGACGGCGGGCAGAGACCGCGGGGCAGGGGCAGGCCCTGCGGTGCACGTGCCGGCGGGCGGCCTGGGCCCTCGGACGGCAGGCTGGCCTGGCCCCGCTCATCGCGAGCTCAGGGCCTCGGGCGGCCAGCACCTCGAGGGGAGACGGGCGGCGGGGCTCTGGCTCGGTCACAGTGGCTGGTTGTGTGGAGAGAGGTGCACGGGGAGCTGTGAACAGCGGCCCCGGCGCTCGGCACGAAGGCAGCGAGGACGCGCCGGGGCCCGCGGTCAGTGAGCACGAAGGCAGCGCCCACCCGCCCGCGGTCAGTGTGGGCCTCGAGGCTCCCGGCGCCGCGGGCCCTCAGCCCGCCGGGCACCGCCTCAAGGCAAGTCGTCCCCGAGCCGTCGGTGCCCGGGGGCTCACAGTGTCCGGCGGTGGCACGAGCTGGGAGCAGGGTCTGCAGCTACTGCTGAGCAGAGCGTCCGGGCGGGCCCGGCCGGCGGCGGGAGGAGCGGAGAGCAGACAGGCCGGCGGCAAGGCACAGACTAGTGAGGAGGGGTGGGCGTTAGAAGATAGTGGTCTCGTACTTGGTGCTGAGGCTCCGCTTAGAGTCGGGCTTGGGGTCCACAACCCAGGAGACGCTGGCGTGGGACTGGGCGTCCGGCTCCACGTCGGGCGGCTCCAGCTGCCAGGAAGAAGGGAAGTCAGGTGGAGCGCACCCCGTGCCCGGGGCACCAGGGCCCGCTGCGCGCCCCTCCGCCGCCCGGGCAGCCCCAGAGCGTGAGGAGCCGGGAAGACACAGGGCCCACCAGAGGCCGAGTCCAAAGAGTGTGTGTGTGTGTGTGACTCTGGGGTGTTCGTGTGTGTGTCCGTGTGTGTGTGTGTGTGTGCGCGTGTGCGTGTGAGTATGTGTGTCAGGAGTGACTGGGGTGTGTGTGTGCGTGTGTGTATGTGTGTCAGGAGTGGCTCTGGGGTGTGTGTGTGTGTGTGTGTGTATGTGTCAGGAGTGGCTCTGGGGTGTGTGTGTGTGTGTGTGTGTGTGTGTGTGTATGTGTGTCAGGAGTGGCTCTGGGGTGTGTGTATGTGTGTGTGTGTGTGTGTGTGTATGTGTGTCAGGAGTGGCTCTGGGGGGGGTGTGTGTGTGGTGGCTCTGGGGTGTGTGTGTGTGTGTGTGTGTGTGCGTGTGTGTATGTGTGTCAGGAGTGGCTCTGGGGTGTGTGTGTGTGTGTGTGTGTGCGCGCGTGTGTATGTGTGTCAGGAGTGGCTCTGGGGTGTGTGTGTGTGTGTGTGTGTGTGTATGTGTGTCAGGAGTGGCTCTGGGGGGTGTGTGTGTGGTGGCTCTGGGGGGTGTGTGTATGTGTGTGTGTGTGTGTGTGTGTGCCTGTGTGTGGCAGGAGCGACTCCCTCCCGGGAGCGTGGTGGGAGGGCCAGGCTGGGCCTCAGCAGGGCAGCCTGACCGGGGGCTGCTCAGAGCTGTCGGACCCCGGCCCCCCCCCCCCCGGGCATCACGCCCTGAGCCCACAGCCGTGGCAGGACCCCGGCGAGACCCGGCGAGACCCGGCGGCACGGGCCTCCGCGGGAGGACAGACAGGGCTGAAGCAGACAGGACGGCGGGCGGGCAGGAAAGGAGGACGCCACGCAGGCCGGAGGCCACGGCCCCAGAAGACGGACACAGACACGGACGCAAAGACCTTGACTCCAGGACTGACAGACGGCAGCGGCAGGTAAGAAGGACGATGGGTGGAGCAGGTGTGACAGTGACAACAGCGGGTGTCGGGGGGCAGCGGCACCTGGGGTGCAGAGCACAGCAGACAGACAGGCGGTGTGACGGGCCCTGCGCCGGGCAGCCCGGGGGGAGGCCCCGGGGGGCCAGGGCACCTACCGCGGACTTCCTCACGCCCGCGCGGGGCTTCGGCACGGGCTTGGAACTTTTCGTCTCCACGGGCTCTGCAGCAGAGGCGCCCACAGGCCGCACCCTCTGGGCCTGCAGGGCCAGCTGGTAGGCCACCTCGAACGCCTGGCCCAGCGTCAGGATGATCTCATAGGTCAGGGTCTGCGAGGAAAGAGCACGCTCAGCAGAAGGGGGCTCGGGGCCCCTCTCCCCCAGCCATTTCTGCCAAAGCAGCTGACAAATCGGAACACCCCGAGCCTCGCCCGCGTTTCGTTTCCTCTCGCCTGATTTCCTCGGAGAAAACGGCGAACGTGACCGAGCACCAGCCAACCAGGACCGGGAGGACACAAACTGTCTGGCGGCCACGGCCCGGCCCCCCCAGCCGCCCTCAGGCCTGCAGAGGGAGCCCGTGGGACCGGCACCCATTCTCAGCGGTTTGTTAGCACAAAGTGGGCTGGCTTTTCCTTCAGCTTCTTTTGAACGTGTTGCCGGGTTTTACTGGCCCCGGAGCACACAGGCGGCACAGAGCGGATGGACGTGAGAAAAGCGAGCGAGTGCGCCAAGAACGTGTGTGTGTGTGGGGGGGGGGGGGGGGGCACACAGGGGCCCTCCTCGTCCCATCCTCAACCCCACGAGACGGTCACATCACACCCCCTGCAGACCAGGAGCCTGATGCCAGGCAGGAACCGGCTCCTCTCCCCGAGGGCCTGGCCTCAGGGCGCAGGGAGTCCCGCCGTCCAGGCTGCGGGCAGCTGCTCCCCCGGGGGCGGAGGGCACTGCAGGGAGCCGCAGGGCTGGGGCGGCCCGGGCCGGGACTAACTGGCCGGAGCGGACAGCCCGTCGCTGAGCCCGACAGGCCCCGTGCTCTGAGCGGCCTCCCCGCGCACAGCGGGGGCGTCGGCTGCGGGCTGAGCCTACCCACCACGTCCACGGTGCTGAAGACGTGGCAGTAGTGGTGGCCCGTGTGCAGGTCCTTGGTGATGTAGGCGAAGGTGCAGAGGTCCTCGGGGTCCTGGGCCGCGCAGGAGATGTTCCGGACCTCGTGCTCCGCGATGACCTTCTGCTGGAGAGAGGGGCCTGGGTCCGGCTCCCTGGCATGGCCGCCGGCCTCTGCCGGGGCGGGGCGGGGCGGGGCGGGCAGTGTCTAACCTCGCCGGTAAGGTCTGGGGTCTCTCCAGCCCCCTGCCTCGGGGTGGGGGGGTGGGAGGGGGGTGAGAGGGAAGGCGGGCGATGGGCAGCTGGGTGGACACGCAGGCAGTCACCAGAGCACGGCGGGATCGGGTGCGGGCGGGATGGAGGGAACGGGGCTGCGGGGCGGGGCAGCGCACCTTGTTGGAGGCGTCGATGAACTTGACGCCTTTGTAGGTGATGGACAGGGTGATGGTGGGGACCTTCCTCATGTGCTCCGTGGATTTCTGTGGGAAACGGGCCTGTGAACGCTGCTCAGGGCCAAGGCCCGGGGTCCCACAGCCAGCAGCCCCTCCCACCCCTGACATGGGAGCCAGCAGCCCCTCCCACCCCCCCCACCCCCGACATGGCAGCCAGTAGCCCCTCCCCCCCGACATGGCAGCCAGCAGCCCCTCCCACCCCCCCACCCCCCCTGACATGGCAGCCAGCAGCCCCTCCCACCCTGACATGGCAGCCAGCAGCCCCTCCCACCCTGACATGGCAGCCAGCAGACCCTCCCACCCCGACATGGCAGCCAGCAGCCCCTCCCTCCCCCCCGACATGGGGCCCAGCGGCTGCAGCCGGTACATCCAGCCCACTTCACCCCGCAGACACCCACCCGCATCTTGGCACAGGCGTCCTGCGTGGATTCTGTCCCTCGAAGGTCTTTGATCAACATGGAGCCCAGGTACTGAGGAGGGAGCGGGCTGGGCTCAGCGCCCACACCACCACGGGGTGAGGGGCTGTGTGGGGGCTGTGAGGGGCTGTGAGGGGCTGAGGGGGATTGTGAGGGGCTGTGTGGGGGGGTGTGAGGGGCTGAGGGGGATTGTGAGGGGCTGTGAGGGGCTGAGGGGCTGTGAGGGGGCTGAGTGGGGGGCTGTGAGGGATTGTGAGGGGCTGTGAGGGGCTGTGGGGGGCTGTAAGGGGCTGTGGGGGGCTGTGAGGGGCTGTGAGGGATTGTGAGGGGCTAAGTGGGGGCTGTGAGGGGCTGTGTGGGGGCTGTGAGGGGCTGTGAGGGGGCTGAGTGGGGGGCTGTGAGGGATTGTGAGGGGCTGTGAGGGGCTGTGTGGGGCTGTGAGGGATTGTGAGGGGCTGTGAGGGGCTGTGAGGGGCTGTGAGGGATTGTGAGGGGCTGTGAGGGGCTGTGAGGGGCTGTATGAGGGGCTGTGAGGGGCGGTGAGGGGCTGTGAGGGGCTGAGTGGGGGGCTGTGAGGGGCTGTGAGGGGCTGTGAGGGGCTGTATGAGGGGCTGTGAGGGGCGGTGAGGGGCTGTGAGGGGCTGAGTGGGGGGCTGTGAGGGGCTGTGAGGGGCTGTGAGGGGCTGTATGAGGGGCTGTGAGGGGCGGTGAGGGGCTGTGAGGGGCTGAGTGGGGGGCTGTGAGGGGCTGTGAGGGGCTGTGAGGGGCTGTGAGGGGCGGTGAGGGGCTGTGAGGGGCTGTGAGGGGCTGAGTGGGGGGCTGTGAGGGATTGTGAGGGGCTGTGAGGGGCTGTGTGGGGGGCTGTATGAGGGGCTGTGAGGGGCTGTATGAGGGGCTGTGAGGGGCTGTGAGGGGCTGTGAGGGGCTGTATGAGGGGCTGTGAGGGGCTGTGAGGGGCTGTGAGGGGCTGTGAGGGGCTGTGAGGGGCTGAGTGGGGGGCTGTGAGGGGCTGTGTGGGGCTGTGAGGGGCTGTGAGGGGCTGTGAGGGGCTGTGAGGGGCTGTGAGGGGCTGAGTGGGGGGCTGTGAGGGGCTGTGTGGGGCTGTGAGGGGCTGTGAGGGGCTGTGAGGGGCTGTGAGGGGCTGTGAGGGGCTGTGAGGGGCTGAGTGGGGGGCTGTGAGGGGCTGTGTGGGGCTGTGAGGGGCTGTGAGGGGCTGTGAGGGGCTGAGTAGGGGCTGTGAGGGGCTGTGTGGGGCTGTGAGGGGCGGTGAGGGGCTGTGAGGGGCTGAGTGGGGCTGTGTGGGGGCTGTGAGGGGCTGTGAGGGGCTGTGTGGGGGCTGTGTGGGGCTGTGAGGGGCTGTGAGGGGCTATGAGGGGCTGTATGAGGGGCTGTGAGGGGCTGTGAGGGGCTGAGGGGCTGTGAGGGGCTGTGTGGGGGCTGTGTGGGGCTGTGAGGGGCTGTGAGGGGCTGAGTGGGGGGCTGTGAGAGGCTGAGTGGGGCTGTGTGGGGGCTGTGAGGGGCTGTGAGGGGCTGTGAGGGGCTGTGAGGGGCTGAGTGGGGGGCTGTGAGGGGCTGTGAGGGGGCTGTGTGGGGCTGTGAGGGGCTGTGAGGGGCTGTGGGGGGCTGTGTGGGGCTGTGAGGGGGCTGTGTGGGGCTGTGAGGGGCTGTGTGAGGGGCTGTGAGGGGCTGAGTGGGGGGCTGTGTGGGGCTGTGAGGGGCTGTGAGGGGCTGTGAGGGGCTGAGTAGGGGCTGTGAGGGGCTGTGACGGGCTGTATGAGGGGCTGTATGAGGGGCTGTATGGGGCTGTGAGGGGCGGTGAGGGGCTGTGAGGGGCTGAGTGGGGCTGTGTGGGGGCTGTGAGGGGCTGTGAGGGGCTGTGTGGGGCTGTGTGGGGGGCTGTGAGGGGCTGTGAGGGGGCTGTGAGGGGCTGTGAGGGGCTGTGAGGGGCTGTGAGGGGCTGTGAGGGGCTGAGTGGGGGGCTGTGAGGGGCTGTGAGGGGGCTGTGTGGGGCTGTGAGGGGCTGTGAGGGGCTGTGGGGGGCTGTGTGGGGCTGTGAGGGGCGGTGAGGGGGCTGTGAGGGGCTGTGAGGGGCTGTGAGGGGCTGTGAGGGGCTGTGAGGGGCTGAGTGGGGGGCTGTGAGGGGCTGTGAGGGGGCTGTGTGGGGCTGTGAGGGGCTGTGTGAGGGGCTGTGGGGGGCTGTGTGGGGCTGTGAGGGGCTGAGTGGGGGGCTGTGAGGGGCTGTGTGGGGCTGTGAGGGGCTGTGAGGGGGCTGTGTGGGGCTGTGAGGGGCTGTGAGGGGCTGTGGGGGGCTGTGTGGGGCTGTGAGGGGCGGTGAGGGGGCTGTGAGGGGCTGTGAGGGGCTGTGAGGGGCTGTGAGGGGCTGTGAGGGGCTGAGTGGGGGGCTGTGAGGGGCTGTGAGGGGGCTGTGTGGGGCTGTGAGGGGCTGTGTGAGGGGCTGTGGGGGGCTGTGTGGGGCTGTGAGGGGCTGAGTGGGGGGCTGTGAGGGGCTGTGTGGGGCTGTGAGGGGCTGTGAGGGGCTGTGGGGGGCTGTGTGGGGCTGTGAGGGGCTATATGAGGGGCTGAGTGGGGGGCTGTGAGGGGCTGTGTGGGGCTGTGAGGGGCTGTGTGAGGGGCTGTGTGGGGGCTGTGTGGGGCTGTGAGGGGCTGTGAGGGGCTGTGAGGGGCTGTGAGGGGCTGAGTGGGGCTGTGTGAGGGGCTGTGGGGGGCTGTGAGGGGCTGTGAGGGGCTGTGGGGGGCTGTGAGGGGCTGTGAGGGGCTGAGTGGGGGGCTGTGAGAGGCTGTGAGGGGCTGAGTGGGGCTGTGAGGGGCTGAGTGGGTCTGTGAGGGGCTGTGTGGGGCTGTGAGGGGCTGAGTGGGGGGCTGTGGGGGGCTGTGGGGTGCACTGGGGCGGGAAGCTCTGGCAGAGGCAGGCACTCACGCTGGCTTCGTAACCGCAGGACTCGAAGATGAGCTTTTCGGGCCGGTGCTGCCAGCTCTGCACAGGGGCGTAGGGGGCGGCCAGGCTGGGCGGCCGGAGGGTCAGCCTGGCCTCTCGGTGCTCTTCCTGCAGAACACGCAGCATCACAGGCCGCCCGCTCCAGGGGCCTCGGAGTCTTCCCGGGGGCGGGAAGGGCCACGCACGGTGGGAAAGCATGTGGGGCTCGCGGGCGTGAGGCAGGGGGAGCGGAGCCAGCCTCCCGGCCGAGGCCCTGGCTCTGGTCCTGGGGTGGGGGTGTCACTGAGGCACCCACAGCCAGGGAGGCACTGGAGTGCTGGGTGAGGGGGGCTGATGGGGCCCCACCGTGGGCCGTGGTGGAAGGAAGGTGGGGAGGGCAAGATTCAGCAAGTATTTACGACCCCCTCCACCCCCCCACCCCCAGCAATGTGCAATGTCTCTGGTGCACAGCAACTGGAACGGCCAGACACATCCTTTAAAGTCTTGTAAAATTCATGGCCAGACGTGGATGTGTGAGGAAAGGCAGGAGGAGTGAAGTCAAAGTTCACCCTGAGGGCGAGGAGGGCACCCCGTCTGGAGGGCAGCTCCGAGGAGCAAAGGCAAAGGGCTGGGGGTGCCGGGAGGAGGCCCAATGCCAGCCCGGGTGCTCAGGCCCGGGGACTGAGGGGACCCGCCCGCAGCCCCCTCCTGCCCACCTGGGCTCTGAAGCGCTCCGCCCGGGAGGGGGCCGCGGGGTCAGGGAGACTGTCCGGCCGCCTCCTGCCCGAGTCCCCAGGAGGCAGCAGCAGGTCGGCGGACCGGGCGGTGCAGGAGTCGTTCTGGCTCAGGGGGGACGACGTCTGGGAGAGCAAGTCCTGGCACTGCGGCAGGAGAGGCCGGGGAGGCTGAGCTGCAGGTGGGCGAGCCCAGCCGGGGGCCAGGCCGGGCTGCTCAGGGCCCTCCCCCACCCTGGCAGCGCAGGATCGGACGGCACAGGCATGGGACAGGCACGGGATGAGGCAGGACAGCAGGGGCTGGGAGGCGCCACACCAATGCTCGCTGCCCAGCCTGGGCACAGTCAAAGCAACCAGCTTCTTGCTGGAGCCGGGAAGCCCTGACCCGTCCTGCGCCCCTGGCTGGAGCCACACAGGAAAAGGGCTGGGAAGTGCCTTCAAAGATAAACTGCCTGCCACAGCCCATCGGGGTTTCTGGAGGAACTCGCAGCACAGCGGGACCGAGGCCCCAGAGAACGGGTCAGCGCCTCCGCGCCCACGCTGAGCGCAGTGGCGGCTCCCCGGGCGCAGGGCGGAGCAGCACCGGCTTTCGGAGGCCCCGGCAGTGGGCAGCTCAGCCCGGGCGGGAGACAGCGTCCTGGACCAGCGCAGGGTCTGCCCGCCCTTGCAGCGGGGTCCCTGGCCCGGCAGCCGGGCACCGTGAGGCTCGGCTCTGGCTCTCTGCTGCCCAGACCCCGCCTGCAGCCCTGCGCTCCAGACTCTGAGTCAGGTGCGGGCGCGGGCACACTGTCCGAAGGGGCCTCCTGGGGGAGCTGCGTGTTCGTTTCCTGCCTCTCCCAACAGGGCACTTCCTGCTGATCCTCAGATGGAGGCATGTGCTGGGCACAGGGAGGGTCCTCTGCTGAGGTCCCATCTCTGAGATCCCGGTGATCCCCCCCGTTGCCAGCACTACCAAGAGCCCGGCCGCTCCCCCGCACTCACTCTCAGCTGGGAAAACCTCGGGGGCTTCTGGGGCGGCTCCTCGTAGGGCCTGTCGGCGAGGGAGGCGATGATGCGCTTTCGATGGCCGAGCAGGTGAACCTTTAGGACCTGGGCAGAGGAACGCGCAGTCAGGTGGTGCCCGGGCCTCCGGCACCCCCACCGGGCAGCGGGCAGCGCACACCCAGACGGCTGCACTCACGTTCACCAGCTCCAGCTCCCAGAGGTTCCTCACGGAGTCGATGGAGCTGTAGCCACTGGACAGGAAGGAGTGGACGTAGTCCTGCAGCCCCAGGGAGTCCAGCCAGGAGGGCACCGACGGGGGGCTGCTCCCCTCGCAGCCCAGGGCCTTCACCTGCGGGGCGAGGGGGCAGGGCTGACACCTCGGCCCTCGTGGGGCAAGGTCCCGGCGGGGACCCTGGCCAGCGCACGCAGCCGCAGCGACCACGGCTGGATAGGTACGGGGCCTCCCCCTGGCAACCACAGCGGTCCGGGCCTGGGCCTGGGTCCGGGTCAGGGTCCGGGTCTGGGTCCGGGCCTGGGCCCGGGTCAGGGCCTGGGTCCAGGTCTGGGTCCGGGCCTGGAACTGGGTCCGGGTCTGGGTCCAAGCCTGGGTCAGGGTCAGGGTCTGGGTCCGGGTCCGGGTCCGGGCCTGGACCTGGGTCCGGGCCTAGGTCCGGGTCCGGACCTGGGCCTGGGTCCGGGTCCGGGTCAGGGTCTGGATCCGGGCATGGGTCCGGGCCTGGGCCTGGGTCCGGACCTGGGCCTGGTTAAGTGAGGTGGGGAGGCTTTGCAGAAGGCCCGTGTCTGACGAGTCACGGACCTGACGGACAGGAGAACTGTGTGTGAAGTGGGCTGGCTCAGTGCTGGGACTACATGTGCTCCCTGTGCTCTGGGCACATGGAAGGGATGGGGCACTGGACGGGGTCAGCAAGGAGCTCAGCCTACAGCCCTCCCCCAGGGAGAAGCCAGGGGTCCGCACAGGCCCGTCTGGTCTCAGGCCTGTGGGCACCAGGCCGCACAGGGCAGATGCCTGCAGCCCTGCTGAGGCTGGACAGGTCCTCTCAGTCCCTCTCGCTCTGCTGGCTCCTGTTGCCTCTGGGGCCTGGGAGGCTCCCCGAGTGGTCCGCACGCCCCGGGCCGGCTGGTGGGGGGAGAGGCCAGGCTGCGGGGCTGGTGGTCACCTTGGGCAGGGCCCGGGCGGCCTGGAGCAGCTTGCGGCGGTGCTGGGGGTCGCTGATGCCGATCTCCCGCAGGTCCTGCTCCTCCATCACGTTAGAGCCCTGAGGGCAGAAAGGCGAGCGTGAGGGCCTCTGCGCTGGCGGCCGCCGCCTGGGGAGCCAGGCCAGCTTTTCCCGGCTCCCCGCCACCTCCTCTGCGGCCTCAGGCTCCGGGGAGCGGAGACCGGGTCCCTGGGAGCCGAGGGAAGCAGCAGCCAGGTCTGCCAGCCACCCGCTCCCACCTGAGCGGCCACAGGGGAGTTGGCAGGCCTGGGGCTCCGGCAGGGGTGTGGGCACAGGCCTGGGCCGGAACAGCGGGCCCCGGGCACACTGCGTGCCCAGGCCTGCCGCACGCCTTCGCCCACCCCGAGTGAATGGCAGGCTCCATGGCTCTCCAAGGCGAAGGACAGGCAGACAAGCCCAGGTCCCTGACCAACGACTTCACAGTTTACAGCTGTGACCATCGCCGCAGCCGGGCCGCGGGCGCAGGGCGGGCAGAGTCCCAGGGCTGGGCTCCGTGCAGCAGCGAGGAGGTGCTCGTGACCGATGACGGCTTTACATGGACACCGTCCCCCTCCCCTCTGCGCGCTGTGTTCTGTTCTAACCCTCGCTGACAGACGAGGACATGGAGGCAGACAGAGGCCAGAACCCTGCCTGAGCTCACACACCCAGCACGGAACTAAGATCGAGCAGATGGACTCCATCACGATGGCCTTTTCTTCCCAGCCGTGTCTGCCCCAAGACAGGTGTTTTCCGATTACGAAACAGGAAAGTTCACGGCTACCCCGCCCCCCAGCCACAGCGCCCCCACCTTCTGGGGCATCACACTGCCCTGGACGCCCCCTCAGCGCCCAGCTGGGCACACAGGCGTGCACAAGCTTCATCTTCACACAAACGTCATCCTGGTGCCCGCTGTTCCGACCACTAGCAGGCGCCCCGGAGGCTGCGGTCACCGGGGTGGACGATTAGGAATGACTGACCGCTCCCCATTTCCCTTCACACGCAGCGGTGCGGCCCTTCTGGGGTGACACCAAGGGCTGCTGGCCGTGTGTCCCCGCCCGGCAGGTCTGGTTCCTGGCGGACACTTCCCGTCCTGCAGTCACAGCTTCACGGGAGCCTCCATCCTCCAGGCCTGTCCATCGCGTGTTCTCACAGCATGTGGAGCCCCGCCCGTCCCCCAGGCTCACAGGAGCCCGGGTGGGGGTTCGAGCACCAAGCCGAGGCTCCCTCTGCCGCCGCCGTGGGGGGGGCGCGGGGACAGCGCTGCGCCCCTCCTTGCCGGCCATCGATGGGGCCGCGGGTCTCTCCTGGCTGAGGCCGGGATCCGTCCACAGGGGGCCGACGAGCTCTCAGGCGTGGGAAGGAGACGTGTCCGCATCCTCCGCTGCAGGCTCGCTCTGCTCTCGGGCCGGGCGTGCGGCCCGTGTGCTTCTCGGCTGCCGGCTTAGCAACACCTCCTGCTCCAATGTTCTCCAACCTCCCGCGTTCTTCCTGCGATTTCACCGTTTCCTGTTTACAGTCAAACCCTCAAGTTATGCGGCACTCCTGAGGGAAGGTGTGTGTTCCCAGGCAGCAAGCTGTGCTCCCACGGTGCGAGTGTCCCGATGTCTCTCATTCCTGTCTCCTCGCAGGTGAGGGGACAGGTCACAGGGCAGCACTGCTGCAGGCCGCCCCGTCCTGCCCACGACCTGTGCTCAGACGGCAAGGGACGAGGACAGCAAGCAGTGGTCCTCAGTCGCTGAGCTCGGGCAGAGCAAGAGTCCGGGGCCACCACTGCGCAGTCCTTGCGCACACCTGTGTGGGGGACGGGGACGCGTGAAGAGGCAGGCGGCATGGGTCCTGGCACGCCCAGTGCTGGGCCCGCTGGACTGGGCACGCCTGGCCACACGGCCCTGTGGCGCTTCCTGGCACGTCTGGCTTAGAAACACCTCCTGCTCCAAGGGCTTCACCACCTGAAGACGTGCCGGTCAGCCTCGGAGCTAGAAATGGTCCATTTGCATAACGAAGCAGGTCTGAGGACTGACTCCCAGGACTCGTGCACGGAAAGCTCGTGAGCGTGGGCAGAGGGACCACGAGACTCCGCCTGCCATGCCCGCCACGCCGCAAAGTCCGCGCAGGCTGCTCTCCCGCACAGGCGGGCGTGGTGGTGGTGGTGGTGGTGGGGAGAGCAGGGCAGTGGAAGGTGCGGGCAGCAGCTGGGGGCAGGAGCAGGGATTGTCCCAAGCCCGGGGACAGGCCCAACCAGGGTCCTCCCAGGACACCCCCCCTTTCTCTCCCTCTGGGGGAGGCGCAGTGCTTCCTTCCCTAACTGAACAGAATTCAATCTGTGTTGAGTGGCCCACAGAGGTGGACGAGAGAGGCCACCAAGGCCGCACAGTGAGGGACAAATGGTCAGGACACGGCCCAGCCCGGCCTCCGTGTCTGGGGCCTGGAGCAGGCTGACCGGGGGAGGCAGCGGCCTGTGGGACTCGTGCGGGGCGGGCACACTGCTCTGCGGAATGAATGCCCTGCGTGGCCGCGCCCTGCCTGACAGGCGCCCATTAGAGCAGTGCCTGCCTGGCTGCACAGCCCGACCCCCCGAACGCCTCCTCCCACCAGCAGCTTCCTCGGCTCCAGCAGGCGCAGGAGGGGCCCCTGCACAGAGGCCCGCCGGCCCGGAGCCCTGGGCACAGCGCAGCGGGTGTAGGGGCAGAGGGGGACTGCAGCCAGGGCAGGGTCAGGGCAGGGGGCACCTCGGGTGGGACAGGGCTCCCGGGAAGGCAAGGAGCACAGGCGGCAGGAACTGCCTCTGGGAGCCTGAGGGAGACCTGGCTCCAGGCAAGGGAGGCCTGTGGGAGGGCCCAGCCCAGCTTCCGACTCTGCCTCCAGCTCTGATTTCCTGGGCTTCTTGGCCATAGGACTTAGGAGATCCTTCACATCTCTCACTTTTTAATATTTTGCTGGGAGTTTCTGTAACTGCTGGACTATCTCCATTCAAACCAGTGGAGCAGGACTGGGGGGCCTGGGGGCCTGGCACACTGTGGGCCCCTGTGCCAGCAGCAGGCCCAGGACCTGCGGAAGCTCCAGCTGCTGTGGGCAGAAACCTCATTCCCAACTCTGCGGTCTGTGCCCATGGCGTGCCCGGTGCCTACGGTGGTGCCTGGCCCATCATCTGCTCAGTGCAAGTCTTCGGAGTGGCCAGGATCCGTATGGCTGGGAGGGAACTGATATAAAACCAGGAAGAGGCTGATCAGCAGGAGCCAATGTTGCTCACTCAGTCTGGGATGAGGTCTGGGGCTGGGTGGGAAGGGGAGCCCCAGGGGTCTGGGCTCAAGAAGGGGTGGAGGGCAGAAAGGTGGGCTGATGGCTTCCCTGGGGGAGCATGGGAGGCACCAGGCTGGGGGGCCTGTGAGGCTGCAGGCAGGGCAGGCAGGGGGCAGTCTCGGGCTCTGCTGGAGGCGGGAAGCGGAGGTCCATCCTGGGAGGGACTGGCCTGAGGCCACAGCCCGTCCCTGAGCTGCTCTGCCCTGGCCTGAGGAGACCTAAAGCTGGCGGAGATCGTCTGCACTTCACCCGAAGCCTGGGCCTTGTTTCCGGCACAGAGGGCTCGGCAGCCCCTTGGCAGAAGGTCCCAGTGAGAGGAGGGTCTGGCTGTCCCTGGGGCGCCTGGGAAGCCCATCTATAGGAACCCACGCCATGCCTGCGGGCTAGGGCAGCGCAGCTCTGCCCACTCGTGCACACGGGTCGCGAGGCCAGCTCAGCGAGCCCGCCCGGGCGGCAGCGGCTCCTGTCTGAGCCCAGGGCTGAGACCTAAGCCAAGGACACTGCAGCTCCTCCTGAGGATGGGGAGCCCTCAGCTTGGAGGTGCTGGGCAACCCTGGCACCAGTCTGGGACCCGATTCCTTGGGGGCTGGCCCAACCTGCCCCTCCTCCGACCAGCTAGGACCCTGGGACCCGTCTGGAGCATCTCTTCCCACTGCCCCTGCTCCCTAGACCCTGGGATGTGGGATATGTGCCTGAAGCCCCACTCTCCACCCCCAACTCGCTCAAACGCAGCCTTGGAAGAACAGTCGGAGCAGAGGCAGGCCCACAGGGGCAGGGGAGCAGCAAGGTGGGGGTGGGGGTGGGGGTGGGGCACAGCTGTCTGGGGTGCAGAGCCCCAGAGCCTGCCCCTCCTTCCCTGGGCTCCCCCTGCCTGGCTGCCCCAGGGTGTGTGTGTGTTGGCACAGCCAGCCTGCAGCGGAGGAAGCCAGAGTGTCCAGTGGCAGCGGGTCTGGAAGCCCAGGCACTGGAGTGAAGGTGTTCATCGCAGGGTTCAGAGGGCAGTTAAATGGAGGGAAGTGTGTGCCTGCAGCTCACTGGTACGTGACAAAGCAGCTCTCTGCTCCTGCCTGCCCGTGCCCCGCGTCAGCCCCCAGATCTGCCCCAGACTGACTCCTCCCATGGAGGCTGGAGGCGATCAGATCCCAGGAACCTTCCAGGCTCCCCCGCCCGCCCTCCAGCCTCATTTCCATATTCAGTGAGGCCTCTCCCTTCAGACAATGGCCATCCTTTGTCCAGCCATCAACCACACAGCCAGGCTGAGGCCTCCTCTCTTGGGGAGAAGGACTGCGACAGAGCTACTGGCCTGGCCTGATTTCTCTGGGGGGAGGGGGTGCTGGTCCTGATGCTTCTCCTGCACCCCCATTCTCCAGTCTCTCAGGGTCTAGGGAGCAGGGGCAATGGGAAGAGATGCTCCAGAGGGTGCCCTGAACTGGAAGAAGGGGGTGTGATGGGTTGGGGTGGGGGGCTCAACTGGGATTTGCCTGAAAAGAGCAAATTAGGAACAGACTTCTTAAACCAAGGGCAGGGAGGGTGGGAGGCTGAGGGAGAGCCGGTCTGAGTGAGCAGACAGTCCTCAGGCCCGTTGCTGCACTGATTTGTGGGGCTAGCACTGCTCCCAGGGGAGGACCAAACGGCGGAACAACCAAACAACCAGTCACTATGAAGTGCACTGACCACCAGGGGCACATGTGGAACATGGTGGGCGCCAGGGCTGTGGCGGGATGGTGGAGCAGGTGAGTGGGGGGTCACAGTCATTGGGG